ACACTATTGAAGTATTATGGTACTAGTTAGGTCAGTAGAATCAGATAAACACCCAGAAAAATAATCCTGATGTATAAATATGTAGTATGTAATAAAAGTGACATTTCAAATCTGCAAGGAAAGGAAAGATCATTCAGTAAGTGGTGCTGGTTAACTCCCTGAAAAAAAAAATCAGATCTTTACTTCACTTTATAATCTAAAATAAGTTCCAGACAGATTAAAAAGTTAAGTGTAAAAATGAAACTGTGAAAGGATTACAAGAAAACACAGGTGAGAATTTATCTAATTTCAAGAAAAGAAAGCTGTTCTAAGTATAACTGCAAAAGAAAAATTATAAAGGGAAAGATAAGAAGATTTGAGTAATAAAACTTAAAGCTTGTGCCTCAAAAACCATTGTAAGCAGAATAAAAATGTGAATGATAGACTGGGTATATGTTTATACCCTATTACAGGTAAGAGATGATTTTATAAATAAAAATAAAAGAGGTTTTACAAATAAAAGGCAAATATCACAAAAATGAGCAAAGAGCATCCAAAAGTCATATAAAAATGTTTAACATCGGTAGTAATCAATGAAATGCAAATTAAAACAACAAGGAACAGTGTTTGAAAGCCAATGCCCAAAGCAGATGAGAGGCATGACAAATAGCATATTCCTACGTTCTTGTCAGGAGGGTAGATTGGGATGAACTCTCTGAAAAGCAGTTTGGAAATGTGAGTCAAAAGTCTTTAGCCTGGCCATATTACTTCTGGACCTTTCCCTTCATAACCAGGATGCACAAATATTTATTTGCATGAATGCTTATTTTAGCCTTATTTATAATAGTAAAAATTTAGAGGCATTTGTGTGTTTGACAATAGGAAATTAATCAACTCAATAAACTCTTTTATATGCATAAGACAGTCAACTACAGAGCCATTAAGTCTGATACTGTGGGAGAATCATGACCAGGAGTACACTCAGGGCCTATTAAGGGAGAACACAGGTTACCAAGCAGAATGCAGAGTTTCTAATTAATTTTATGAAAGAAAATCAAATTGGAAACATGTACACAGACATGTGGACAGTGAATATTCGTGGGTGAGGCAGTTGGGGGGTGGGTGTATGTATGGCAAGTGCTTTTATGTACTTTCTATTTTTGACACTGAACATGTATTGATTATGTTACCTTCACAGAAGGGCGTATATTTTAGCTGGACTCTCACCCAGAAGTTCTTTCTAAAAGAAGCGCAGAACCCAGGAGCTATAAAGTGAAAGAACAAGCAATGAACCACATAGCCATGTTTAAACTTTAGGCTTTTGGATGGCAAAGGACATCATAAACAAAATTAAAGCAGAGGTGACCAACGGGGAGAAGAGAATGTAAAACTTATTACAGACAAAAGTTAATGTTCCCGGCTCAGCAGTTCCTACAGAAGGGCAATCCATTCGCAAAATTAAGAGAGGGCTTCAGACAAGTCAAAGGAAAGGCTATGCAAGATCAAAACACACACGCATGTATTAAAACACACATGCATGTATGAAAACACGGGCACCCTCACTAGCAAGCAGGGAAGTGGATGATGGTACAGGCACTGTGTAAAACACTGTGAAGCTGTCCAGGGCAGAGTTGTGTGAACAGTGACATGAACAAAGTCCATGCTGTATTGTTGAGTCAAAAGACAGGTTAGAACAGTGGATAATTAGGTCTCACTTTTATTTTTTAAATCATGTATATGTTTCATAATACATATATATATGTATATATATTTGTATATAGCTGTGTATGTATATATAACATTTTGGTTTATGTGTGTGCATATATCAAACATAAATATACATATATGTATGTATGTGTGTGTGTATATATGTGCAAATATATATAGTTGGACAAGGTGACTAACTTTGCTGTGCCTCAGTTTTCTCATTTGTAAAATGGAAAAAAAAATACACACACACACACACACACACATACGCACACACACACACAAGTCTAGTAAAACAGGCTGGAGACTATATATACCAAACTTGTAGAGAGGTTAGGAATGAAAAAAGGGACACTACTTTTTTATTGCCACACTTCTGTACTATCTCATTCTCAAAATTCTCAAAGGGTATGAACAAATTTTGCAATTAAAACAATAAAAATTTATAAAAAGGGAAAAATGTATGACTCCCCCCAACTGCAACATGCATGTCTGTTGGCCTGCCAAGCCCCCGGCTGGGGCTGGGAGCAGAAAGCCCTTGGTGAGGCAGGCCATGAGTTCCTACAAGGACCTGAAAATCTTAGATCTACTCCATGGCTCCTGTCTGGCTTGCTGTGGGTCCTTGGCTAAGTCACTGTACCTCTCTGGTCCTGCCAGCTCTATCCACTAAGCCACTTGGCTAAAATTCACAGTAATTCATAACTCAGTGGATAATTCATGAATTAGGAACTAAGTGTTGGGTCAGAACCCTCCCCTAGGCTCCCCACTTTACAGAGGGCCTTCAGGGGACCCCTAAAGATCATGTTTCCTCATTCCCTGAGGACCCAGTAGGAGCCCCTGCAGGAAGGAACATGGGGTGTCTTTCACCTCCTCCCCTGCCCAACCCCGAGATCCTACTGCAGAGAATGGGGCCAGGGGTCACGGCTGGGAGTCCTGTGACTGTCCTGGACCCAGGGGGTCTGTCCTCTCCTCCCTGCAGGATCGTGTGTGAGATGGGGGAGGCCAAGCCCAGCCAGCATGCCGGCTTCGTGGAAATCTGTGTGGCCGTGTGTCGGCCTGAGTTCATGGCCCGGTCCTCTCAGCTCTACTACTTCATGGTGAGTCCTGGCCACAGACCTCATTACCATGATCACTGGCCCGTCTAGACCTCTGTGGGCAAACCCAGGCAGCACCAGGGAAGATGCTCTGGCCCCACCCCAGAATCCCCTGCTGAGGGGCAGTGTGGCAATGAAAGGTGAGAGTGTGGTCCTGCATCAGGACTCCTGGGATGTGAGCACTGTCCCTGCCACTTACTGAGTGAACCTGGGCAGGTTGCTTAACCTTTCTGTGCCTCGATGTCTTCATTTCTAAAACAGAATAACAATAGCATCTACCCCAAGATACAGTTGTGAAAATGACATAAAGTAGATGTACCACTTCCAGTATCAATTCCTTTATGATTTCTGCATTTGCTGCTGGGGTTCTGCTGCCCTGCCCTGTACACTGGCACCTGGCACTTCCATCCCACCATCCTCACCCGTCCTAGCTTCCCCACTCACATTCCTGTCCCGTGACTTCCTGTACTCACCTCATTCTCCCACATCTCACCTAAACCCCGCTCTGCCTTCCTCTGCCCACACCATTACCTTTCCCACTCCAACATCACTTATCCCTCCTCACCCTCCTGTAGCCTTCACCCAGCCCTCCCCTCCCTGCAGCCTGGACCCTCCCTGGCCCTGCACAGCTGCCTGGCCAGCGCCTGGCCATCCTGGGTGAGGGGTTCTGTGATGACAGGGATGCTGGAGACCTGAGCACAGCTCCTGCCACACATGCCCCATCACTTTCCAACCTGTTTGACCACCCAGTTAACCGCTCAGGTTAATGACAGCCGTGAGGGTATAATTTCCTCATGATGCAGAGCTGCTTTGGGAAGCTGGAAACCTGAGGGATGGATTTTATGTCTGAGCATTAAATGGCCTGAAATTTGTCATGGGGGCCCAGTGTTCTTCCTCCCTCCCTCCCGCCCTTCCTTCTTTCCTTCCTTCCTTCCTCCCTGTCCTTCTTTCTCCTTCATCTACCCTCCTCCTCTTCTTCTTTCTCCATTCAACTGACAACTGTTTATCACCCTGTACAATACCTCTCACAAGGTATTTACTTGAAAAATGCTTGCTTAGTTGATTGAATTTTATAATGATAATTTGGTGGCCCTGGTCTGTGGTGAACCAACTCTCACACAGCCCCTCCCGGGGAGTCCCACAGTCTGTGGATGAGCTGAGACAGAGGACTTGTGTGTACATACGAACGGGAGGGGGCCGCCTCGGAGGACTGGGCCCTGCTCTGCGCTCTCCCCGCTCTGCTCTAAAAACCAGCTGCCCTGTGAACAGCCGGCTGTCACTAAGCACACAGGGAAGCTCAGGGAGAAGTACACGCATGTAGTGATCTAGTGGGGGTGCAGTTTCACCCATTTGTTTCAGGTTTGAACCCCGCCTTCTGAAAAGATTTGAGGGAATTTCAAGTTAAAACCAACACACTTTGAGACAAGTGATAAATATACATATGTTCATATAGAAAGTATACAAATATGTTGCAATATATCCCTGTGAACACGGCTGTCACTAAGCACACAGGGAAGCTCAGGGAGAAGTACACGCATGTAGTGATCTAGTGGGGGTGCAGTTTCACCCATTTGTTTCAGGTTTGAACCCCGCCTTCTGAAAAGATTTGAGGGAATTTCAAAAGAAAACCAACACACTTTGAGACAAGTGATAAATATACATATGTTCATATAGAAAGTATACAAATATGTTGCAAT